ATTACTTGTGTATTGTAAGTGAAGACCAAGTCTTGTAATTCCTGTGTCTTTGTGCTTGGGACTTAATTAAATGTTTGAATGACGAGATGTGGCTAGCACTAGAGGCACCTCTTTTATTAGCAGAAGCCTGAGTTGCAAATTCTAGTCCCACCAAAAACAAAAAAATTACCGCCCAGTCATTGGTAGCTCATGCTTGGTAATCTTAGTATTCAGGGGGCAGAGATCAGAAGGATGCCGTTCAAGGCCAGTCTGGGCAATAGTTCTGTGAGTCCCTATTTCCAAAATACCCACACAAATATGGGCTGGCAGAGTAGCTCAGTGGTAGAGTACTGCATAGCGAAGTGGTAAAGGCACTGAGTTCAAACCAGTATCAACCAAAAAAGTTATTAAGTGACTCTTGGGCTGGGCTGTCCCATTGTGTTCTGCCTCCTGTTCTAGGCAGGGCATGATAGACATTTAGAGAATTTTCTCCAAAGTAGTTAAAGTGTCAGAGGTCTGCTGCTCCTTATTATGCTTTTCTTTGTCTTTAAAAGTAGACTTCATTTTTATCTGGCTTAAAAGGAGTATGTGCTTATTACAAAAAATTGGAAAGACTGTAGAATGAAAATAAAAATCTCTACTTGTTGATACCTACAAGTCATGGTCAAAAATTTAAAAACTGAATTGTGAAATATTTTAAGCATGAAATATTACAGGGAGTCATAACCACTCATATACCCACCATCCATATCGTTTTAGCTATTTTAAAAAGAAAAAAGCCAGGCGTCAGTGGCTCACGCCTGTAATCCTAGCTATTCGGGAGGCAGAGATCAGGAGGATCATGGTTTGAAGCCAGCGCAGGCAAATAGTTTGCGAGACCCTATCTGAAAAAAACCATTATAAAAAAGGGCTGGTGGAGTGGCTCAAGGTGTAGGCCCTAATAAGTTCAGGCCCCACTACTGCAAAAAAATAAAAATAAAAACAAACAAACAAACAAACAAACAAAACTCCAAAAGCATAAATGCCAATACATTTGCCTAGGGACAGAAACCATCCAATGGCCTTTCTCCTTCCACTGTGTCTGTCCACATGGGATCAGTTGTCAGCTTTGCTAGAGCTGGTCTCTGCCACCATAGTGCCTTTGCTTGTGGGTGCTCTCTGAAGATAGAGTAGGGGAAAGTATGCAAGTGTGTCTGTACACATGGACTTATACTTCTATTGGTGCACAAGATACACACCTCTGCATATACATGCACACATGCAGTTACACTTTTGTGTGCACACAATCCTCTGCACACATGCATATAAGTACTTGCAATGCACAATAGACATATATGTTTCTACATGCCCATCTCTGTTAGGTTCTTTCCACTCCCTTCTCCTCTCAGTCTTGGGGTTCTTTCTTCCCAAGTGAGAACCTGGGCTCACGGCATCAGCACGTTCATTCAGGTAGATGCTCAGTGCTTGGACCTGTGCACTGCAGAAAGCACTCAGTGGGATCCAGGATTTCTTCCTTCATTGGGAGTCTCCTTTACTTTATTTTGGCAGTGCTCTACAGCTATTCTGAAATCTCACATATCACTCATCAAATTTATTCCAAGACAATTGATATTTTTCATCACTTATGAATGGTCTGTTATAAAAACATCTTATTTTCCACTTGTTTATTGCTAGATTATAGAAACCTTTTGGCTTTTTTTCTGACTTTGTCACTTTGCTAAAAATATTTGTCAGTTTAGGTTTCCATGTGGATTTAATAGAGCTTTCTGTGCTCATGGCTTTTCTTTTCTTTTTTTTTTTTTTGGTTGTACTGGAGATAGAACCGCACATGCTTTGCACATGCTAGGCAAGTGCTCTACCACTGAGCCACATCCCAGCTCTCATAGCTTTGCTTTTTGTGATAATCATCTATATGCCCTTTCTTTCTGTTCCTTGCCCTGTTGAATTGAGTGGGACGAAAAGTCCCAAGTCCCACATTGCCACCTGTCACCGGGTGGCTCCTTGTGACCGGGAAATTGCCTGTTCATAAGCAAAGCTTAGTACCTGGTACACATGGAATGAAACAGTGTGAGGAGAGGTCCTCACTGACGCATCTCCACATTTCATGTTGTTTTTCTTTTTTGTTCATAAGGAAAATATTTTTTTGAGTTCACATTCCTGTTTTGGTTAAACAACAAAACAAAACAAAACAAGTATCAGCAATACGACAACCCACGCTAACACCAGGTGTGATCCTTGTTTATCTCCTGAGTGCCTACAGTGCTTTGAGTCTATATTTTGGGTTACCACATCTTGGTCATCTCTAAAGTTCTCTGGGTTTTGCAGAGCCATCAGCCTTTTCATTCTGACAGTTCGAGTGTACCTGTTGTGGTATCTCAAGGCCTTTAGGAAGTGGCCATGTCGTGTGAATTTGGGCTGAGTCTTCTCACAGTGCCCTTGGCTTGCTTTAGGGGCTTCTCACCAGCGGAGTGGAGTTCGAGTCTCTCCCTGCGGCACTTTCCCTTCCAGCAGAATCCGGTCTATATCCAGTGACACTCGTAGGAGTTCCGCAGACGACAGGAACCATTACCGTGAATGGTAAGGAGAGTTCCTTGGTGGTGTCTGCTTACGAAGAACTGTCCTTCTAGTCCTAACCAATGAAGAGATAGTGAGACGATGACATTTCTTTGGGATGTGACATGGAGAAAAACTGGTTTTGATGTGTGAAGTGCTGGCACCTTGCCCCAGTCAGCTTCTTGGAAGCCATTGTTAGCTCCCTCATGTCTATCCCTGCCCCCCTACCCCTCCACTGATGCTCATGAGACCAGTGCTTCTTTCTACCCTTACAGCCACTTCCCATCAGGCAGATCATGACTCATGCAGGGCTTGTCACAAGAGTGCAGGACTGGTCTTCCCACCTCCAGGCCTGCTTGCTGATAAGTCCACCTTCCATACCAGAGTGCAGGGTTGCTCCTGTGCCTTGTTGCAGGTGGGGTTTCTGAGCCCTGTGGGACCCACAGCTCTGTGGTGTCTTCTTCTCCCTCCTCTCCTGCTGGTTTGTGCTTGGATCTCACCTGACTCCCTCCCACTGGTCTGGCAAGCAGTCAGATCCTTCGCCTGGCCTCTGATCCAGGACTTCAACCCTCTTTCTCCACCTCGGCACATAGGCTGCCTTCCTTGCCTTGTTCATGAGTGCATTCCACCCCATGGCGCTGAGGGTGCTGTGAGGTGGGTACCTTACTGACCTTGGCCTTACTGGCCTTGCCTGTCTTGCTGAGTAGTATCCTCAGTGCCCAGCACAGAGCTTTGCACACAGGTCTTCAGCATGCCCTGGTTGCTGGAAGGGCTCTCCCTGTGGGGCTAGTGAGGCTGGCATAATTGTAGAGTTGCTGCATTGCAGCAAGTGCTGGAATGGAGCCCAGTGTGCAATGTATGGAAGTGAGGGGCAGGCAGGGACCCAGAGGGGAGGTGATTGACAGAAGCCTGTCATAGCAGGTAACCCTAGGAACTTCAGATTAATGAGGGTGAGAAGTGGGGAGCAAAGAGCCGGTAAATAGGGATTTCAGCAGAGAGAATAGGTTGTCCAAAGATGGTGGCCAGAGACACCAAGGAGCATTTGGGAGAGCTGTGAATGGTCAGAGAGGTGGTCCTGGGCAGAGGGAGGTGGTGATGGGGCTAGAAGATACACAGGCAGTCCTGGGGACCTTGGAAATCACTCTGAAGGGAACAGGCTGTCTTGTGGTGTCAAGAGTGCTGCTGCTGAGTTTGAACAGAGGAGAATCTGACCACTTGGGTCTTTGGAGCAACTTACAGCTCTTAAGTGGGGCCTGGGGAGAGCCAGCATCAAACCTCAGAGACAGTTCAGGTGGAAAGGATGAAGGAGGCCATGACTGTGGCAGGGGCCCAGTGAAGGAGGCAGAGGAAGAGTCAGGCCTGAATGGCTATTCTAGAGGAATTGGACAGTAGTCGCTGTGGCACAGGTGGGTGTGAGTAGACATCTTGAGTTAATCCTCAGTGCTGATCACTTGCACTGCTTTATGACTGTGTACTACAGTTGGCACCAAACATTTGTCATCAGACAGTGTTGATGTGGGGTTGCTTTAAACAACAGAAGTGTTTTAAGAAAAGGAAAAGGACATATTTTAATAAGACTTATAGAATGATGGTTGCTTAGCAGACAAAACCACATTAGGCTTTACAGAGAGAAAAATACAGGGGTATTGGTGCTGGGGCCTTCAGGGAGGAAAATGTTTTCCAGTGCAAGAAGCCTTTAGGGAGTTGCACAGGGAAAGGGGGAGTCTGGAGGCCAGGGCTGGGGGTGAGCAGAGGGGGCTGATGGCCATGGTTTTGCCCCTGAGGGGATCACAGCTCCCCCTTTAGGATGTAGTAGTTCCATGTCAATGCAGAAAAGTTGTCACTCTAGGCGTCTAGCCATCGGGTATTACTTAATTTTGTTACACAGTACATGTTTATAATAATTATCTCTTGAAATTTCAAAAGGCATTTTAAAGCTTTGCTTAAACAATTTCAAGTGCTTATCTAACCAACAGACTTTTTTTGCATGGGGAATTTGCTGATCTTAAATTATAGTTCTTGTACGTATATCACAGATTTGCCATATCACGTAGCAGCTATAATCACAGTAATTGGCTCCTGAACTTTCATCTCTCAACAGAAGGTTTTGAAGCATTTTTCAGATACTCATTAAGTCATATTATGCCCCAGAAAGGATTATTAACTGTCCTTCTCACTTTAGAGATGGGTAAATCTGTAAAGCAAATTAGTAAGGGGATGAGCTGTGGATGACCAAGCTGTGTGGACCGTAGTTTGCAGGACTCATCACAAAGGCCCTTCATTTGGGCCTGGTCAGTCTTGAGAACCAGTACACAGGTGCCGTTACCAGCTCCATTCTGCTGGAGTTCATAAAGGGTGTCTGGGGTGTGTGTGTAGGGGCATTGGGAACCAGCAGCTGGTGGGTCAGGCCTTCGGGAAAGGAGGCTTGTGTTTTCCTCATTACCTTGGCCTGGACATGTGACCAAAGCCTGACCAGGAGATATGAAGACTGTTGCCCTGTGTTCCAGGTTACCACACTACAGTCTTTGGTGTCTTCAGTGACTGTCTGCTGGACAACCTCCCTGGAATCAAAACTAGTGGCTCGAGTGTTGAGGTGGTTCCTGCCTTGCCGAGACTGCAGATCGGCACGTCTCTGCCCAGGTAGAGTCCCCCGGCCGTGCAGGGCTTTACTGAGCGCAAGGAATAGCCTTATCATTTCTAGTTCTACATTAAAAATACCAGGAAGAGGTAAGTCAATCTGACATTTGATGACCAGAACATTGCTAAGAGATTTCCTAAGATAATCAGTAGTTAACATTCTCTGCTGAAAGTGAATTGGGACAAAGTTGAAGTCTTTCTTACCAGAGCAAATGTGAAATTAGATGTTGGAATCATAACTTTGAAGGACAAGGTGTTAGGGCATTTAAGAAGAATTCTTCTGTTTTAAATTTTTTTCCTGGTCTGTATGTAGCATTGTAGGAGAGCATGAAGAAGAAAGGGAATAAATCTGAGGAGGCCCAGGAGCAGAGCCATACATGCTCTGTGGTATTTCTTTGCTGTGTTTTATCCATCTTTAAAAAGTACCTATTTGGATAGTGGAGGTCATATTAGAGATGCACTGTCAGCTGTGTCTATGGTCTCTTTTGCCAATTGGCTGGTGGTGTGATGTGTTGCACGAGGCAGGGCCCGGAGAAGGCAGCCATTAAGTATATGAGAGTTGCTGTGCTCTGGGCCTGGTCAGTTACTGCTTGGGTGTTTTTTGGCATTGCACAGGTGGTTCAGGACAGCCAAGCTCCCTGCTCATGGCTGCTGTTCTTGTGCCACGCCCTGAGGCACATCTGCTCTGTTGTGCTTTGTCCTTTCCCTCCCTCATCCTTTCCATCCTCTATTCCTTTTTCCTCCCTCCCTCAGGGTTGTGGCCCCTTGTCTGAGACATCAAGTGGTTAGTCTCGGCTGTGTTTCACTCTCCCAGTACCTTCTCCACAAGCTCACGTTGCTTACATGCAGCTTTTACTTGAGGACTGCTTGCTAAAGGATGGAAAGAGGTCATTTGGAGTGAGGTCATGGGTCAGTTTTCCTTCCTTAAGCATAAGTCCATTTCCTGACTCAGAGGAATTCACCCAGAACCATCTGCTCTTAGTTCCTGAAAACTTGGTGTGGCCATCAGACTTCCCCTACTAGAACGTGGCACTGAGGCCCCAAGAATGCAGGACCAGCTCAGCATGCCTCTTGTTTTAAGCACTGTTTCTTTACTTGGACACCAGAGATGTGAGGCTATTTCTACCTGGAACATTCTTTTCTGTCCTCTGGTCTAAGTAGTGTGGCTGTGAAGCTCTCCCGTGTCACTCTGAGCCTGTGTGCCATGACCAGGGCAGAGTTTAGAAAGTTCAGGACATCCGAGGCTGGTGGATGGTGGACAGGTGATATGAGTGGGGCTGCCTGGTTGATCCCAAGTCCACTTCTGATTCCCTTAATAGCATTAGCTCATGTGTTGTAGCTAACTCTGGTTCTCAGCTGGAACCCTTCAGGAGTGAGGAGGGAGGTGGTGGGGTCCTAGGCAGACCCTGGGGTCCTGGGAAGAAGTGGTGGCCTTTCCCCTTACGGTGTCTTCTAGTACCCCCGCCCTTCCCCTTGTGGCCACACTTCTTCAGAGCTGTGCATCTGTTTTACCCTTGCCTACTCTGCACTCATCTTCTGGTTGCCCGGGAGACTTTTGTCCTGACTGTACTGTCCTTTTCTGTGGGGGCAGTGGCCTCCTTGGGAGGAGAAAGCAGGGTAGTCAGCATGTGGATCCAGTGAAGGTCAGCAGAACCTGGGAAGAGCTTAGAGTCAGGGCATTAGTGCAGGATTCTCAGGGAGGCCCTGGACGCCAGGTGGCATTGGCCCACAGGGCTGGGTGCCTGGATGTGTCCTGCGAAGAGGGCCTCGCTTGAGCTGCATGAGCACAGAGCTCTGGGTCACTTTGGAAGTTGGTGGCAGTGCCCATGGTGTGTACCTTGGGAATGGGGTCTATTTACATTTTTTATTTCTCTTTGGCTGCAGTCTTATGTTATCAGTGAAGTGGTTCATACAAGTTTTTCTCTCGAATCCGTGGATTCTACAGGAAAGTTCTAAGCACGAGAGCAGTACCCTCATGGTTCATTTGAATTAATTCACTGTCTAGCTTTTGCCTCTACATCTCAGTAACTAAGTATTTTTATGCTTCACATGTGCATGAGAAACCGAGGTCAAGTGGAGCTGGCCAGGTTTAGGACCATGAGGTCCTTGGCCTTGGCAGGCGGCTGTGGCTTTCTGCTCCTGACGGCCGAGCCCCCGGTGTGAATGATCCTGATGTTCCATGGTTTCTGCACGCTCTGCTTTCTTGCTGAACATGTCATTGTTGTTATTGTTTGTTTCAGATCTGCACATTCACTGCAGCCTTCCTCTGGTGACGAGGTTTCCACTAACCTGTCCATCCAGCTTTATAATGGAGAAACTCAGCAACTCATCATTACCTTGGAAAACATTGGAATGGAGCCACTAGAGAAACTGGAAGTCACCTCAAAAATTCTCACCACCAAGGGTGGGTAGTGTGGGACTGTCTGTGTCATTTATAAGAAGACACACTCCCCCTCATCCCCGTATTGGGGCTTGAACTCAGAGCCTCATGCTTGCTCAGCAGACGCTTTACTACTTGAGCTATGCCCAACAACCCTTGTTTTAGTTACTTTTCAGACAGGGTCTAGAGTTTTTGTCTGGGGTCGACCTTGGACTGTGATCCTTCCACTTGTGCCTCCCTTATAGCTGTCATTATAGGTGTGTACCACTATGCCTTGCTTGTTGGTTGAGATGAGGTTTTGCTAACTTTTTGTTCAGGTTGACCTTGAGCCTTGAGCCTCAGTCTTCCCAGTATCCACCTCCAAGTAGTTGGGATTATAGATGTGAGTCACCATATCTGGTGCAGAAGACACACTTTGAATAACTAATATCAGTTATTTAGTGCACTGAATTTCATCCTCTTTGTCCTCCCATTTTTGGGACCAAATACATGCAGTAGGTAGGAAATGTCTCTAGTACAAAATACCTTCAGGTGATACTCTGAGTTTAAATAAGTAGGTTATGGGGTTTGGTTGATGTTTGAACAAACGTTGGTATTGATGATAGAAAGTTGCAGTCTCCATGGTGAGATGTCTTTACACCTGTGATTGACCTTGCCTTCACTGTTCAATAACTACAAGATATTCTCTACTTTTGCCAAATAAATGCAAATGGTAATGAAGTAAGTGGCCATTATTCATTGCAGACTGCTCATTCTTCTGAGATGCAGTCTCTCCCCGCTGGGAGTTCTGCACCTACCATCCCTGGTGTCTGGGGCTCCATGTGGACAGAGCCCCATGTGGATGGCAGCCCTGCTGTCGCTCCCCTTACTGTGCACTTACATTTGTCCTGAGTGGTCCTTCCCTCCATCTTCCACTGTGGATCAGCCACTTGCTCTCCTGAGCTCTGCTTGCTAGCCTCTGTTCCTCCTTTTGTCTCCTCAGCTTCTGCCCTTCGGGTCTCACTGAGTCAGCAGCCAGACTCAGGAGCTGGGTCCTTCTTTGTTGTCTCAGAGCATGCTGTATTGCTCCTGCAGTACCACTGTCACCATGCACCATCACTTCCTCTTTTCTGGTCTCTCCAGCAGGGCAGTGAGGATCTCAAAGGCAGCGACAAGGCTTTCTAGTTTATTTCTAGGGTCCAGCACAAGAGTAGGTGCTCAGTCCTGAGGGATTGTTGGTGACAAGCCATTTTCACATCTACAGAGTGAGGCTAATGAGACTATGCATGTCTTGCTCGTTGGTTGAGAGGGTGAAATAAATAAGTATGGGAGCTGCTTTGAAACCCCGTGGCTCCCCTTATTACCACGATCTCTGCCTCTGCCATGGCCCTGTGCTCTCTCAGACCTTTCTCCTTCCTGGAAGCCCTTACCAGCTTCTGTGTCCTCCAAGTGCTGCTCAAGCAGGTCTGGCTTCTGTTCTACCTTTCTCAGTTTTCCCGGCCTGCAGTGATCCTTGGGCCTTTGAACTCTTCTGGAACTTGTTCTTTGTAGCACCCCTCTCTCCCCACCCTCTTGTTAGGAAGCACTCCAATCAGAGGAGCTGAAGGGACTCCATAGTGAACACTGGAACCTTACAATTAGCATTTTGCTATATTTGCTCCATTTCAAGTGTGTCTAAGCCTCCTGGTCCTCCAGTAATCCATCTTATTTTTAATGTTGTTTAAAGTGAGTTGCAGATTTCAGGAATTTTACTCCCAAATGCTTCAGCATACATCTCATTAATTAGAGTTCATTTTTTGTAAAATGCATGTGCAGTGAAATGGACACATCTTTAATGTGATGAGTTTTCACAAATGCATATACTCGGAGAACCTATTCTCTCATTAAGATGTAACATAGCATTAGGCCTCTCTTGACATCACTTAGGCCATCTTAAACTCTGACTCTAGATTTGTTTAGCTCCTGTAGAGATGGGCCCTTCAAGGGAAATATCTTGTTTTCTAACACCTGTGCCAAAACACAAGTTCCTTGACTACCCCCAGCAGCATCCTGTTTTTGCCCTTGGTCCGTGACTGAAATATCCTGTTTCCCAGCACCTGTAACAGGACACAAGGACCAGTTCTTTGACTACCCCTAGCAATGGACAATGGACAAGCCACTGTGAAAACATTCCCTCCTCTCACCAGGTCCTTCCCTGCCTATAAGCCCCCCAGTCTGTAAGTGGCAGTGGGCTCTAGCTCTCTTGCTGGAGACCCTCTCCTCAGGTTTCTTCCCCTGAATAAACCTGTGCTGGTGGTGAACCATCTCCTTATCTCTCTGTGCTTTTCAGTCTAACACATAGACCGTTTCTATCACTGAGAAAGTTCCTTGTGTTCTTTCTCGTTTATTCCCTGCTTGACTCCCACAGGTAACCTGTCTTTTCCATTTACCTGGTTGCCCAGCAAATACTGACCAATCATCATGCAGAAAGTTCGGAACACTCCTGGCAACTAAACAGAAGCCCAAGGGAGAAGCTTCGGGCAGTGGTCCAGACTGACGCTTTCAACATAGGCACCTCCTCTTCCTTGTGAACTTGCCATGATGCCTTGCCCAGGCTTCTCCTGGCATCTGCTGGGTCCTTTCTCTGTGCTTGTCTCTACTGGGCCCTGGGATGAATGGGGTGGGTGTTCCTGCCTACACTTTATGGCTGGACAGTGAAAGCAGAAGAGGCTTCTGACCTGTCTCAGGCCATGTAGCAGGTTCATGAGGAACCAGGGTAAGAACCCAGGTCCCTGAGTTCTCAGCTCTGATGTCCTCACCCTCAGTCATGAGGGAGGAAGAATAACAGACATGAGGTAGATAGCATGGCATAGCCATTTTATAAACAACATGGTTATAACTGAAGAACTAAAGTCCTCATTCTTTTTAAAATCACTGTCCCAAGCTGCAGTACATTTGCATGTAGAATGAAATCAACAGAAACAAACCACCTGGTTCCAAAATATACAGAGTTAGTAATTCCTGCGACTTGTGTTCTACGGTCCTGAAATGCTGCCAACATTAGCAGATGATCTGCTCCGTGTGAAGAGACGAGCAAATGACTTTGGGTAGCATCGTGAGCAGAGCCAGGACAGTGGGAGAGTCAGTTGTGGATGTTACGTACCATCTGCTCCGATCCTGGTGTTACCTGTACTTGAACCCTCGTGTGTTTAGCTTCTTTAAGGTCCCTTGTCTGTCTGCCCTGTAAACTTTGCCACATGGAGTTCAGTCTGGGTCCCCATGCTTTTCTTTGTTTTTTTACCTTTTATTTTATCATTTTTACATTTACTTACATGTGTATACATTATTTGGGCCACCCCTTCACCCCCCCTCCCCACCACTGCCCCGCTTCTGGGCAGAACCTGTTCCACCCTCTTGTTCTCTCATTTTGTTGAAGGGAAAACATAAGAGATGTTAAGAAAGACACAGTATTTTGCTGGTTTGAGTTAAAGATAGCTATACAGAGAGATTCCTAGTGTTTGTTCCATGCACGTGTGTATTGCAACCCACATTGGTCCATCTCTACCTGGTTCCCTTCCTATAGTGGCCTCTGCCAGTTTAAGATTACTTTATTCACTCCTTTACAGTGAGCACATCAACCACATTCAAAGTTTTAGGTTTCCTTCCCTTTCCTTATTCCTCCCTTGCGTGTTCTCCTCTTAGTGTGTGACCCATGTCCAATAATATTACTGCATTTGTTTTAGGTCTGTAATCCACATGATGGAGAACATGCAATTTTTGGCCTTCTGAGCCAGGCTAACTTTGCTTAAGATGATGTTCTCCAATTCCACTCATTTACTTGCCAATGACAAAATTTCTTTCTTCTTTGTGGCTGAGTAAAATTCCATTGTGTGTAGATACCACATTTTCTTTTTTTTTTTATTGTTTTATTATTCATATGTGCATACGAGGCTTGGGTCATTTCTCCCCTATGCCCCCACCCCCTCCCTCACCACCCACTCTGCCCCCTCCCGTTCCCCCCCACCCCCTCAATACCCAGCAGAAACTATTTTGCCTTTATCTCTAATTTTGTTGAAGAGAGAGTATAAGCAATAATAGGAAGGAACAAG